ACGAAAAAAGGTCAGTATGATATAAGTTAAAAGCATGATATTAACTATTCGGATGAGGACCTAACCATGAGAACGGGCCTCCCATCGGCCCTTCAAAAGCTTGCGCCATGCGTGCTCGGAGTACGTCATCTGTTTGCAGATGCCCTCGATCCACTCCTTAAGCCGGGAACCGTATTTGGAACTCGGGAAACAGCAGCACAACCACAAGTATGAATGATAAGGAAGAAAATGAAGAAAAATTAATACATAAGGAGAGGCTGCACTTACAGATGCATTTCACTTCTCGGGGAATGGCATGAAATCGGGAGGGATTAAGTCTTCGGTCTTCACCCGAACGAAGCATCCCTGCCAGCCTCGGTCTCGATCTTCGTCAATACTCGAAAACGAGGCCTTGTTGGCCCGGCGAGTGAGTTTGATTTATCCCCCTCGAAAAATTCAGGGACTATATAAATAGAGTAGGTGGTCGATGTTGAACCAGCAAGACTCGATCTTATTCACGAAGTAACGAAGGAGGATCACGATCTTCCATAGAGACGGGTGGATTTTTCCGAGGCATACCTCGTACCTCTTACAAAACTCCAAAACAACCGGATCCACCGGGCCCAGTGTGAAGGGGTAAGTGTAAACACTAAAATACCGTTCCACATGGGTAGTAATAGCATCCTCAGGCCTGAGGACTACCACGACTTTGCCTTCCCACTTACAATCCCCTCGGACCGCGGGAAGGACATCCTCGGTAACGGAGCATATATACCTCGATGCTCCTTCACCCCGGTCATGTTGGATGAGGGTTTCTCAACCTTAAAGTTGTCGCAATTGAGCAGCCCTTGGGAATGAATATTTTCAAGGGAGGCTCGAGAGCCAATTCGGTGGCAGCCACTTCGGGAGCTACCGTTTCGAGGGCAACTACTTCGGGAGCAACCGCCTCAGCATTGGCAGCCGATTGGGAAGATGAAGAGGCAACTTGTTGAGGAACTGATTTAGATGCTTTAGCCATTGTCATCTGGAGATGTTTGAAAATTTAAAGATATAATACAAAGTTTTGAAGGAACGATGAAGGATGAAGAACAGAGTATGAAGATTTGAAGGAAATCTGAGTAAAAACCTAAGAACAACTATGAGAAATTGAAGATCAAGGATGAAGCTATGAAGGTTTGAAGAAGATTGATAATAGCTAAGGAATTCGAAGGCAGAAGCTTGTTCGGAAAGTAGGAAAGGAATAGGGGATAAAACCTTTTATAGGTGAGGATCACGTCGCTTCGCATTCGAAGGTAACCAGCTGATGGTTGACACGTGTCCGAAGTCAGAACGACGCGACTGGTGGGGCGTTTCGGCTTCTTCGTTTTGGCCATGACGTACAGAGGAAGGAACCGGAGAACATCTATCGTTTCTCATCGCTTCGGCAAACCTACCCTCTGAGAAACGAGGGGACTATCTGTATACGGGTAAAACCGAGGCTAATGAGCATTCCAATTTCCCGGTGGGGGAAACGAAGCAAGGATGTAACTATAAGGAACCGGAATCGAAGCTATGAGCCTCTTGTATCAAGGCCCGAACAAAGCACCTGCCCTCGGAGCCGAGGACGAACCACGCCCTCGGTTCGAGTTCCAAGACCTCGGAAAGCATCACCAAACGTCCACGCACGATTAACAAAGGGTCGTATATCCATGCCCGACCGGGTATCACGGCACGAATCTTAGCATGCATCTGCAACATATCAGTGATTAGCGAAATGGAAGATTTTTACCTTTCTTAGAATTGTACTTAGGATAAAAAAAACCTACTAAATAAAGGAGAAGTTTATTATTCAATAGACACTTTTGTATCACGCATATCAAGGCAATATGCATCTATTTTCTCCGCTTCTAACAGTCATTCAAAGTTCTTAATTTTGCTCATAGCTCTTCATAAGTGTTTGGCCCCGAACCGAAGGCAGGCTACCTGTTAAGCTTATAACCGAGCTCGGACTCAGTATTACTACTTGTTTGGCTATTTATTTTATCTTTAGCTTGCTTATCTTACGTTATTAATCACTTGTATTGAATTAGTCTACATATTTTTAAGACTGCGTATAAATTTAATTGTTATCCATTTTGAAGGGTAAACCCATAGCAAGCTTGAATTTAGGAAGTTGTCGAAAAGCTTCCTATTCTGCAAGTTAATAACTTTACAAAAAGGATTTAAGTTAGTACCATTTATATTCTGTTGCCAATTAAGTTTACTAAATAGAGTTACCTGCAGCGTAGTTGTCCTTTAAATGCACCAATTGTATAAATATTGATTACACTGTCAATATACAAAATTCAAAACCCAATAAAAGAAGACAGACACAGACATAATAAGAACTCGACAACCTCTGCTTAAGAACATCATTTTCTTTTTGCAATTAAATGACTATGATGTGTCTGGTCTACTCTAGTTGCATGCCTAATTGTTGCTTGGCATTGAAGTTTTCCAACCCCTTAACTCGAACCTCATATTTATCAGTTGGAGATGAAGGTGGTTTAATCAATATATAGGAGTAATTGCTTAAGATAAAGAAATTTAAAATGGTATTTATTGATATGTTTGGTGTACCTTAGTAGATTTTAATAGAGAGAACACAATTGGTTATTTTTTGTTTTACTTTACCAATAGGATAAAGGGGAACAAACAATTGTTTTGGTTCAAAAGATAACGCACTTTTCCAGTTTTAATCCTCGTGTTGTTCAACTTAACATCTAATTAAATTAATTAATCATGGTGAGTTAATATAGTTTAGTGTAAACACCCGATGTGGGTAAGTATTTACGTGATTTATGTCCGTGAAACTAAGACCTTAGCTTTTTATTTTTTAAAAGCATGAAGGGGTTCTTCTGTGATTTGAGAAAGCCAAGAGATGGGGCAAGATTTTTTCTATTTTCTTTTTATTGCAACTCCTAATATGTAATTAGGGGGCAAGAATTCAAATGCAACTTTGGTCTGTTATTTTATTTTTTATTTTCAGGAAAAAAATACATCCTAATTACGTAGTCTAAATTTTTTTCAATTTAGTACCAAGTCCATTCATTTGTAAAATATTAGCAAGAAGTCGTCCAAATGACATCTAAAATGCCGACGATGACAATGGCAACATAAAGAAGTGGGTTAAAAAAATGAAAGTCAAACACCTAGAAATTCCCATTTCTCTAGTGTTCTTCTTTTGTTAGTTCTTCTTCATCACTGAATATAAATAAAAAATAAATTGGAGCCAATAGAGAAAATAAATCTGGAAGGGACACGGCCGACCCTCAACATCGCAATTAAAAACTGACATAAAATAACAGTCCACAAATTTAAGTCAAAGGTCGAGCACTAGTATTGTCTTATTGTTTTTGCATCGAATGACGCAAAACGTAGACAAGTCATACGACGCCGGAAAGGGATGGCAATGGAGTGGTACGGATGCGGGCGAGTTACGGTATTTTCGGAGGCGGAGCGGGGCGGGTTTTATTTTTTTAAAAAAATATAATGCGGAATAGGGCGGGGCGCGATCAAGAATTTAATTTTTTTAACTAAAGCCTGAAACGCTACCAGCCAAAGACAAATTTTCAGAAGGCTAAAACCAGTTGCAGCTAAAGAACGGCCAAAGAAATGAAGAATGTGCCTATATAAAACCAGTTCCAAGATAAGTACTTAATAAATTATATAAAGTAATCTAATCTGCACTCGAAAATTAAATATTTTTGTTTTCCTTTAAATATTCTTGTTTGGTAAATTGGAAAATCAAGCTATCCTTCTATTGATTTTATATCTAATGATTAATTCGCTTTTTAAATTTTAACCTTCATAACATAAACTAGTAGCCATATAAAAGAAGCTAAACTTATTTCTTTTTCATTAGGTTATGAAAAAAAAGGGTTCATTTATATATTTACAAATTAATGAAAATCAACAGAGTATATAATCAGCAGTACTGTATTAATTTTACAAATACACTCTCCCTTGTGCATATATATATTTACGTTAACAAGAACATGATTTGAAAAATATGAGGTAGCAAGAACCAAAAATAGTTTGTAAGAAACACAACTTTAATTTATAAGAGACAGTTACACAATATGAAAGCTGAAAAATATGAGGTAACATAGAATTACTCCATATGCACAAAAGTAAGTGGAGTTAACACCAACGAAAGAAAAAAAATTAAGAAAAAATTGCATAAAATTTCTTCAAAAGAAGAATATATAAATTATAATGCATTGGAATATGGGATGTTTTGATAATATTCTCAAATTAGAAAAAATTAAAAAAAAAATATGGGGGAAGTTGCGCCGGGTGGGTTAGCACGCGGCGGTTTAAAAACAAAAAAATATACTTTAC